CCACCCTTGCCCGCCCCGGTGACGAGCGCCCGGCGGCCCTGGAGCCCCAGCTCCATGTTGGCGTGGTCTCGGTCCGGGGCGCAGAGGCCACCGGACTTCCAGCTCTGGCCGCGAGGGGCGAGTGCGGAGGGGCCAATCGCAGGGCGGCTTCCGAATAGGGGGCGGGAACATTCAAATAAAGGCTCCCTTGCAGCAGTGATTGGATGAGAGAAGTGGGCGAGGCCAAGGCGGTGTTACCACTGTCCCTGGGTTTGTTATGTCTGTCTATCTGTATGTGTGTATGCAAGTAGGTATTTCATTTATTCATTCATTCATTTGAGTCGGAGTCTCACTCTGTCGCTCAGGCTTGAGTGTGTGGCATGATCACAGTTTACCACAGTCACGATCCTCCTGGATTAGCCTCCTGAGTAACTGGGACTACAGACTCGTACCACCACGCCTGGCTAATTTTTTTTTTTGAGTTGGAGTTTAACCCCATCGCCCAGGTTGGAGTGCAGTGGCACGCTCACGGCCACCCCAGCGTCGTCCTGCTGGGCTTCTGCCATCGTTCCACCTCAGCCTTCCAAGTAGCAAAGCTACAGGCGCGCGCTACCATGCCTCAGCTAATTCTCGGTTTATTGTAGAGACGAGGTCTCGCCAAGTTGCCCGGGTTGGTCTCGAATCCGTGAGCTCAGGCAATCCACTCACCTCGGCCTCCCGAAGTGCTGAGCCACCGAACCCGCCCTAATTTTTAAAATTTTTTGTAAAGATGAGGTCTCGCTATGTTGCCCAGGCTGGTGTTGAACTCCTGGGCACAAGTGATCCTTCTGCCTCGGCCTCCCAAAGTGCTGCGATTACAGGGGTGAGCCACTGCGCCTGGCTTTTTGCTTTTTTTTTTTTTTTTTAGTTGGAGTCTCACTCTGTCACCCAGACTAGAGCGCAGTGGCCGCTCCCGGCCACCGCAGGCTCTACCTGCTGGGCTCTGGCAATCCTTCCGCCTCAGCCTTCCAAGTAACTGGAACTACAGGCGCGCACTACCACGCCCGGCTAATTTTTGATTTATTATTGAGATGAGGTCTCGTCAAGTTGCCCGGGCGGGTCTCGAACCCGTGGGCTCAGGCAATTCACTCACCTCGGCCTCCCAAAGTGCTGGGATTACAGGCTGAGCCACCGAGCCCGGCCTTTTTTTTTTTTAAGAGTTCAGGTTTCGCTGTCACCCAGCCTGGAGTGGTGACCCATTAACCACGTGTGAAATCGGTTTAGCAACCCCCAGCCATCATATTTTCCCTGCCAAGAAGATTCTTAAAAAAAACAGATGTGATAGAAAGAATGTGTGGTGACATGTGAAGTGGAGAACTCAGTGCTAATATTTCTTGTTTTATTTCTGAAAAGTTTGGCAAGTCCGAGAAAGTTTCGCATGTCCTTCCCTCTCCCAGGCTTGGGAGTGGGTCATGTTGGCTCACTTGTAATGCCCAGGGAAAGAATTTGGACAACCAAATAAGCCTGAAGAAGAAAGCAATGCCCAACAGAGCTCTGCTTTAGCCTGAAACCCCAAGGTCGCCCCAGCCAGCATCAGGCCACTTGGCACCTTTTAGAAGTTGAATAGGATAGGAAGGTATAGGATGGGGGTCATCAAAGTACATGGTGGCCAGCAAAGACAAGCATTGTTTCCCAGGCTTTAGGAGCAATTACAGATGTGTGTATATTCACCCATGCACAATAGGTCTCCACCTAACAACTATGTTGTTCTGGAGGTCATAGGAAAGTCTAGAACCACTGCCCTGAGGACCCTCTGTAGCAAAAGTAGGAAACTGGGCATCGTAGGGCCTTTGGGTCACCTGGGTTTTGGGACCAGAGAGGTGGACAGGATGGAGGTAAGGGTGGCCAGATGTAGCAGGAGGCACAGATGTGAAAAGGCCCTGGAGGATGGCCTAGTGCTTTCTCCCCATCAGGCCTGTCCTGGGCCAGCCCACTACTCCCTGACTGCCCTGTAACCCCTGTTGCTGCTCCTAACTTTGGACCCTGCTGCCGTCCAGAGGTCAAGGGAGGGACAACCCCCAACCTGTCCTTCCTGGAAGGCACATCTGCTTAAGTCCCTTCAGTGGCTTGACTTTGCTCCTAGGACAGTACACAAATCCCCTCACTTGTCCTGTGACCCTTAGCTCAAACCCTGCCCCCTGGAGGGCCTGCTGGCTGGTCAGAAATACCCTTAACCTGTCCCACCCCCACCCTGTGTCCAGCACCCTCCCAACCATTGCGTGGAGGGCACAACTCCTGCTTCTTGTCCTCTGCCCTCTTGCCCAGGTTGGGCCCTGTGTCTGTCCAGCTGACTGGCCACTTCAGGACTGACAGCCTGCCAGATGGCACGGGCCAATCCAAGGCCTGGCCTAGGCAGGCACAGCTGAAACACAGCATGGCCTGAAAGACCTTCTGGCTAGCCCTGGACTGCAGGGCTGTTGAGCTTGGATTCAGGCCAGGGAAGAGCAGCAGCTGCGAGCCCCATCCCATCTGGGATGCTTCTTATAGGTCTTCTTAAGGAGGAGATAAGCCCTTTTTTTGTTTTTGTTTTTGAGTCGGAGTCTCACTCTTGCTCAGGCTGGAGTGCAGTGGCATGCTCATGTCCACCACAGCCTCCACCTGCTGGGCTCAGCCTCCTTCTGCCTCAGCCTCCCAGGTAGCTGGGACTACTGGTGCACGCTACCACGCCCAGCTAATTTTTATTTATTTATTGTAGAGACTAGGCCTCGCCAAGTTGTCCAGGTTGATCTTGAATCCCTGGTCTCAGGCAATTCTCTCGCCCCTGCCTCCCAAAGTGCTGGGATTGCAGGCGTGAGCCACCGTGCCCAGCAAGATAGGCTCTCCTTAAGAGGGGAACTGGATTCCCTGAGGGAGGATAAACTACATCTGATGCAACACCATCCTGGCCTCAGCCCCATCTTCCCTAGGTAGGGCTAGAGTGCAAGGCATTTCCCCTCACCTTCCCAGAGGGGTTGGAGTCAGAGTAGGGAAGCTGGGCTGAAGGGCGAGGCCAGAGCCGAAGAGGAGGGAGGGGACCTGCCCTCTGCCTTCTGCCAGGGCTGGTTGGGTGTGGGGGATAAGCGTGGAAGACAGGAATCTACTCCTTGCAAAAGAATCGCTGCGTTTAGGTCATCAGGCGGCGTCAGCGGTGGAATCCGGCTGGCTTCAGGATCTGCCCACCCATTGCTTCTTTTTTTTTTTTTTTGAGTGGGAGTCTCACTCTGTCGCCCAGACTGGAGTGCAGTGGCCGCTCCCGGCCACCGCAGCCTCGACCTGCTGGGCTCCGGCGATCCCTCCGCCTCAGCCTTCCAATCTCCAGTCTCGTGGCGTGCCCATCCGGAGCCCTGGTCTGCGCTGGTTTCGGGAGAATGTTTTCCATTTATTAAGGCTAATCCAGCACAGCGGGAACACAGTGCGTGGCAGCGACAGGGGCGGAGTCTCACGGCCGCCGCAGGTGTGGGTGCGGAGGGGCGTGTGGTGGGATGCCGGGTCTGGAAGGAGACCGCCGTGTGGTGGCGAAGGCGGGCGTGGAGCAGGGCGGGGCCTCGGGTGGCCGGGGTCGTGAAAGGGGGCGTGGCCGGTGTGGCCAGGCGGAAGGCGGGGCGGGGCCGTGGGTCGAGGAGAGGCGATGGTGGGCAGGCTACAGCTCTGGGCGTGACAGGGCTGCGGGTCAGGGCGGAGCGACGGTGGAGCGGTCCTCGGGCAGGGCGGGGCGTGGGGGTTCGTGGGCGGGGCCTTGGAAAAGGCAGGGCTGCGGGGTGGGGCGGGGTCTGAGACGAGTCTGGGGAGGGGCGGGGCGTAACCGAGGCCTGGGGCAGGGTGGAGCTTTGGAGGAGCTGGGGTGTGGCCTGGAGGGGGCGGGGCACCGCGCTCCAGGAGGCCGGGTAGCCGGCGTCCACCAAGTGGACGCTGGTGGGGGCGCTGCGGTCGCTGAGCAAGAGGAGGATGCTGTCGACCACGTCTTCCACCTCTGCAGGGGCCGGGGGCCGGTCAGGGCGGCTCGGTTCGGTTCCTCCAAGGCGCGCCGCTCTCTCACTGCCCTCTGACCTGCAAACTTCCTTAGCGGGTGGTGCTCCTTCAGCTTTCGGGGGAGTTTGGGATCAGACAAGATTCTCTGGGTCATTACTGTCGGCACCACCGTGGGGTTTACGGAGTTCACCCGGATCTAGGGCCAGAGACCGGAGATGGTAGCCCGTGAACCAGCCCCGCCCCCATAGCTCCTGTGCCTGCCAGGATTGAGCTTAGTTCCTGACCCCTCTGCCCAGAACCTTGTGTAGTCTCCATCCTCCCATTCTCACCCCAATCCCTAGCCCTCCCCGGCACCCACCTTATGCCTCCCAGGCCTGGTCCCCAGCTCCTATCCCCATGCCCACCTTGTGAGGCTCCAGCTACAGGGCCATGGCTTTTGTCATCATGGTCATTGCGCCCTTGGTAGAGCCTGTGGAGGGGGACAGAACGGAAGACCCTTAGGGATTAAGCCTGCCTTCCAGGGAGGCCCTGCCCCAGAGCCCAGGAGCTCCTGGATAATGTAAGTGTTGCAGGCTGGGTAGAGGGACTTACTGTAGGTGACCATGTTAGAAAAGGTGATATGGGCCACTATGCTGGAGAGGTTGACGATGGAGCCTGGTGCTCTGCGGTGGATCAGGCCTCAGACATGCCGGCCAGAGGCTGCATCCAGAGTTTTGGAGAAGAAAGAAGAGTTAAATTGTGTGTGTGCATGCATGCATGTGTGTGTGCATGCTGTGTGTGTGTGTGTGTGTGTGTGTGTGTGTGTGTGTGTGTGTGGTGGACATAGACAGCATCATGATGGGAAGTGGAGAGAAGGGCAGTAGAATTTCTTTTTTGTGTTTGGACAGAAATATCGTGCTGTAATGGTTGTCCTGGAAGAGGAAGGCTGGGCTCCCTATTGGCTGGGGGTAGGGCAGCTGTGCCCATGGGAATGGGGCATGGGGAGTGGGTCATCTGCACTTGGTGTTGCCAGCTTTATGGTGATACTCCAAAGTGCTGTCCCAGGGTGGGGGATCAGGGCACTTCCCCATCATGCAGCTATGTGTCCCTTCCTGGGCTGGTTGGGAACAGATGGCCTGGA